GGCAAGCCTGTCTCCCTCGTCCCCCAAGAAGACCGCCACCCTTCAGGCTGAGCTCAGTGTGGTCCTCCTGGAACACAGCCCGTCACAGCCCTGCACCCCTCAGCCTGTGCCTCTCCTCCCCAGCCCGAACCCCCTTGAGGGCAGGCGTCTCAGCTGAGCTTTCCACCGCCCCCCCAACACCCCCCTCCCAGCAGCCAGCACAGAGCAACCCCAGCAGGCCACACCAAGACACGCTGGGGGTAACGGCTGGGCTTGGGGCCATAGAGCAGTTCCTGGCCCAGGGCTTCCGGTCTGCCTCTCGAATTCCATCTCTCGCAGGCAGAAGCTGGTGTTCTACGATTCCAGCGAGGATCCGGACAAGGAGTCCCCAGATGCTGACCCTTGGCTTCCTGCCTGGACCCCGGAGGGCAGCCCCCCTGGTGACTGAAATTCCTTGTCTCCTCCTTGTAGGCTGGTGTGGGGCCTTTCCTGCTCACTTCCCTCTGAGCAGCCCTGTGGTGGGAGGAAAGAAGGACAGGGACTCGAGGTGTGCCTAGCACAGGGCTGTGTGAGCGGCTGGCCGTCGCCGCGGCAGACAGTGCTGGCCAACCATCACTCCTGTGGAGCCCAGACGCTGCCTCAGAATCTTTCCTAACATAGAGCTCCAGGGAGCTACAGTCAGTCTGTCAGATGTAGCAGAGCAGACACTGATTTTTCTGTCTTCGTTCGTCCTTGACGTGACGCCAGGCATCGCGTCTCTTCTTTTCCTTTACAAAGCCCTCAAAATGAGTGGTCCACAGAGTCACCCTTCCGCCGCATCTAACACCATCTCAATGCCGGCCACTGCACTGCTGGGAGAGACAGTCATTTCTTTTTTCTTTTTAATTTTGTTTATTTATCTGACAGAGAGAGATCACAAGTAGGCAGAGAGGCAGGCAGAGAGAGAGAGGGAAGCCAGCTCCCTGCTGAGCAGAGAGCCCGATGCAGGGCTCGATCCCAGGACCCTGAGATCATGACCCGAGCCAAAGGCAGCAGCTTAACCCACTGAGCCACCCAGGTGCCCGAGACAGTCATTTCTGACACGTCCTCAAGCCTGATGCTTCCTTTCCAGGGAGCCCGCTGGCCTTGGGGCCTCCCCAGATCAACAACTGCACCGTGTCAGGCCACCCGAGTGCGATCCTAGGACTCAGCCCCTCCCTCTTCAGCTCCCCAGGAAAGCTGCCTCCAGAGCAGATCCTGGGGGATGGCACGGAGTTCCTGACCCAAGGTGAGCTCCTGGGGCCGGACCCGATGCTTGGTCTATTCAGGAAACATATGATGATACCCACCAAGTGTGCTGCCTTGGGCTCAGCCGTCCTGGGTGCCCCGGGGTGGGCGGAGGCAGTCCCAGGCCAGCACCGTGAGGGGGAGGCTCCTGGAGCCCACATCAGGGACCCACCCCCTCTGCTCAGCGTGGAGATGCCCCAGGGGTGCTGGCTCATGAGCCAAATTTGGTCCTGGGACAGGAGATCCCAAAGCAGAGACCTGGAGAAGGGCACTGGGGCCACCTGGGCCAGCAGGAGGGAAGCCTTTCTGCTCCAGCCACTGCCCGCTCTCCCTCCCTGACAGCTCTCTTCGAGGACGTGTTCCTAGATCCCGAGTCTTTGCCTACTGAAGGTGTGCTTGAGGCGCTCCAGGACGAGGTAGGCAGCTGGTCCGCCCTTCGTTCCACACGCACCGCTTTCCTGCTTCATGGACTCCCCCATCCCTGCAAGCGGGTAGCCGCCTCCCCCCACCCAACCCGCTCACTGTCCGTCTGCTCGTCCTTCCAGACACTCACTGAAAACAGCAGAATGAGCCCAGAAACACTCAGTGGCAAAGAGCCTCCCTCCTGGGGCTGACCTGTCGCCGCTGCCCTCCCCCGGGGGGCTCACCGCCCAGCGGACGAAGGGGCAGCCCCAGCTCGGGTCCCCACACGAATGGGCCTCCACCTCCACCAGCTCCTCCAACCAGGGCCCGAATCTGCGGCAGAAACAAAAATAGCCCCTCTCGGCAGAGCTCTGAGGCGGCGCTGGGCAGGGTGCTGGGTGCTTCTCCACCCCATGAGGCATGTGGCGGGACCCCCGCACTCTAAGTGAACTTGGTGCTCAGAGAAGTTACCACTTGACGGGGACGTCACGGCTGCTGACCCGATGATATTAAGAGCTACTGGCCCGGAACAGGGAGGAGGGCAGTGAGCCCCTGAGCCCCAGCCAACGCCCCCCCCGTCCCCGCCGACCCATTGTGGGGCTCTATGGACACTTGCATGGACGTCCAGGGACTGTTTGGATGAGGTTGTCTTAAATTCGAGCTCTGGTGACCGGTGAGTGGGGACATGAAGGGACGCTGTGGTCTCCCCTCACGTCTCTCGTCTTTCCCCTTCACCAGGAGATGCCCCCAGCGCCCCCCGAAGACCCCGCAGACTCCCACAGCCTGTGCCAGTCCTCCGTGTCGCTGGACCACTGCTACCTGTCGCTGAGCGAGAACAGCAAGGCGCCGTCCGGCTCCAGCTCCAGCTGGGAGGGCTCGGAGGCCGAGTCAGTGTGGAGGCGGCAGGAGGTGAGGGCGGGACAGCTGGCGGCCAGGTGGGTCCCCCGCCTCCAGCCAACGCTCACCTCCCCAACCCCCACGACCCCGACGCAGGACGCTCAGGCCAACCCCAAGGGCCCACCGTCCTCCAGCGACGAGGACGGGGACTACACGTGGACCCCCACGCGGCGGGCCGCCAGCCTGCCCGTGGCTGGGAGGAAGGTCAGGAAGGGCCCCTCGAAGTCCAAGGAAAACAAGAAAGCCCCCTGCCCGACCCAGACGAAGAAAAAGTGCGTCAACGGCTTTATCATGTTCTGCAGGATGAACCGGAAGCAGTATATCCGGTGGGTGGGGGTCCCTCTGGGCCCTGGGTTGTGGGGCCCGACCTTCACTGTCACCGCCCCCTCTGCCGCCCCCACCAAGAGCTTGGTCCCCCAGCATCTTACCTGGTCCCCTTGCATTGGTCAAGCCCCGCGAATTATACACAACAAAACCCCACTCAGACTTAAGGAAAAAGGAAAGCGGCTCCGGTAGCCTGAGAGGGGAGGACGTCGACGGCCTTCAGGTGGGGCTGGGCCCAGGGCTCAGACCATGGCGCCTGGCCGTGGGCCCATCTCTCTGCCCTGCTCTTCTGGGTTGGCTTTGTCCTCAAGCACGTGGGGTGGGGTTGGTGAAGGGTCACCCCAGGGCTTGGGTCCAGCGACCCTGGGGGAGGAGAGCTCCTCGTCTCCCACCAAAGTTCTTGGGGCTGACTTGATAGGTCGGGCAAGACCTGAAGAGCTGGTGTCCTGACTGGAAGACAGGGGTCCCCTCCGGGTCCCGAGATTCAGTGTCCCCTTCCCGACAACCCGTCCGTCCAGCTCCGTTCTTTGACACCCGGGCTCCAGAGGGTGTATCCTGAGGCCCTACAGGCCAAAGTGGGTAGAAAAGATCTGAGTTCTCAGGCGGGGAACCGAGGCCCTGAGAGGACAGGGGAACCTCCTGTGGCCAGACGGGCAGCCTTTGCCCGAACGGGCTGCCCTCTCCTCACCTCCTCCCTCCTGTCACAGAGCCTGTCCCGGGACCGCTTCCACGGCCGCCACCAAGGAGCTGGCCCAGCTGTGGCGGGTGATGACCCAGCAGGAGCGGAGACCATATTGGTGAGGAGCCCCTGCCCAGGGGGCGGGGGGGCGGGGCAGCGGGGCCTCCCGGGCTCTGGTCGCCTGCTATGATTTTCATGGTATTGGAAACAGGTTGGAGTTTATTGTTGGGGTGGAAGACTTGGGTGTTGCCACTCTTATGAGATAGTTGGGGGTGACAGAGGTCGGGAGCTCGACCTGGGGAGCTTAGAAGGGCAAATAGCCCAATTCTAGCTTTAGACCCCCTTTGCCCTTCCTGCTACGGGAAGTTTCTCAGAGCAGGACGCCGGGTCTTATTTCCCTGTTACTCCCACTCCCCTCCCCGCCCCCCCTTCACCCCCTTCCCCCCCCCACCTGCTCAGAGCTGCCACCTGCCCCTCTCTCATTGGCCCCTGAGACACACAGCCCACGTGCACACTTAACAGATCTCACAGGAGCGTGGGGCCCAGCCCCCCTGTACAGACGGGGGCCTCTGGGCTCTGGGGTGGTTGGGGGGAGACGGCCGCCCTGGGGGACAGGGAAGGCATGACTGCCAGTGGCCCCTTCTCCCCCAGCATCAAAGCCCGCAGGTTTAGCGTCCAGCACAACCGGATCGTGAAGCAGGACAGCTCCAGCAGCGAGGACGAGGCCTGGGGGACCCCCAAGCCCTTCTACCAGCTGCTGGCGGAGAAGGCCCGCCGTTCCCCAGACCTGGCCCCTCTCCTGCCCCCTCAGCACCACTGAGAGGGTAACCCTGCCGCACCCCTCCTCCCTCCTGGGCCTCACCCCTCCCAAAGCAGGCTGGGAGGAGCCGTCCTGATGGCCCCCACTGCTATGTGCGTTTGCCTGGTGTTGGGGCCACCGGAACTCGCCCGCAGACGCCACTGCCCTGCCCGCAGCCCCTCCCTTGCCTGGGTGCCGCTGGGGAGCTGCGGGGTGGGAGGAGGGGAACCTTAAGTGAAAGGCAGTTAAGGTGCGGTTTACAGGACAAGGGGCTCGCTCTGCCCTTCCGCCGGCCACCCCAGGACCCGGTGGTTTCAACCCTGTTCTTACCTCACCCCACTCCTCCGTCCCCTGTTCTATTTATAGATTATTTATTGTTTGCAACAAAATAAAGTGGGACCTTGTTACCAGCAAGAAAGAAAGGCAGGCTCCTTTGGTCCCCTGCTTCCTCCCTGGGTGGGGGCTCCTCCTGCACCATCTGGAGGCCCCAGGGCCTGCCCTGGCGAAAGCACACCTTCCCAAGCGGCCTCGAGGAGCTGACCTCCACCTCTGGCTCCGAGGTGGCCAGAAAACCAGAATCTCAGGTCAGGCTTTTTTCTGGCTCAGTGTTTCCTTCGGGCAAGTAACGCAGAAGGTAGCCCACACCTCTGGAGGGTCTAGTTGTCTGTTAACTTTATTTTAATTGAAATAGAGGCGTAACATGTCCTAGAAAAATAAAGATTTGATACAAACTAGACACAGGGGTCAGGGTTGCCCCAGGGGTGAAGGGGATCTTTGGTCTGGGGCCGGATGTGAGAATGAGGGCTCTAGTCCGGGGAGGGGGTCTTCCCCAGGCCTCCCCGCACCTGCCTCCCTTCTCAGCAGGAAGGGCCCAGCCCCGAGGCTCCATCGGTCTGGGGCACAGGACCGCCTGGCCTCCACCCTCTGACTCCAAGTGGTTCTGAGAACACTGGACGTCAGCGGAGCTATTAATAGTGTTTGAGGGAGTGACAGGGGGAGGGCTCAGGGGGCTGGAAATCAGCCATGTGGCCGAGCTTTCGGCTCACAGCTAGTACCAGGTTGGGGGTGGCAGCCCCGAGTCAGGACCCCCAAACCTCCCTGCGTATCTGGGCACACAGAGCAATGAGAGGGCTGTAACAGAGGGCCCTGATCCAGAGGACAGTGTTCCTGGACGGGAGCGGACAGGGGCGAGTCCCCCTGGCACCTCCAGGGCTCGGAGAGGTTACGCAGCCTGGGGCGGGGGTGGACGCCATGGGTAGAATCTTGGGCTCACAGCGATGGTGTCTGAGCAGCCCCACGGCCCAGGCGGTCCTGGATCTCGAGCACCATTGGCAGCAGAGGCGATGAGGCCCGGGGGGCTGTGGGGGGGGGGGGGGTCACAGCTCCAAAGGCTCTTCCACAGGCACCGACTGCAGCTGGGTCAGAACCTTGGGCTCTGCTTCCAGCCCCTCATCGGCCTCACCGCCTGCCGTGGACCCCAGGAGCAGACCCTCAGGGTCGGGGTCTGGCAGCCTCAGCACGGTGTGGGAGGCCTGTGTCCCCAGCCCTTTCTCGGCTTCCAGCAGCCCTTCCGGGCCTGTGCTCAGTTCCAGTCCCGCGGGCCAGATGGGCATGGCTGCGGGTGACAGCATGAGCCCTTCGGGCGGGGGCGCCGGGAAGCCAGGCAGGAGGCCGGAGGAATCTGGGGAGAAGGGCAGGCTGGTAGCGGCGGCGGCAGCAGGGACAGGCGGTGGTGGCGGCTGCGGCGCAGACAGTGGGCCCAGGGCATGGATGTCCGAGAGTGCGGGGCTGGGGGCCACCGGTAGGGCTCCCTCGGGCACTGAAATGGCCGGGTCTGGCTTCAGGGGCAGGGCCAGGCTGGGGGCAGGCGGCAGGACCTGGGAGACCAGCATGCTGGTGGGGAAGGTGGCCGTGAGGATGATCTTGCCCTGCTGCACGGCCACACCCGTCACGATGGGGCTGCCGGACACGGGGTTGGCCAGGAGAAAGTTTCCTGTGGGAATGAGAGATGGGCCAGGCGCGGGGTGAAGCTGGTGCTCCACAGGGCCCGCAGGGAGATCGGGGTGGGGGGGCTTCGGGATGGGGGCTGTGTCTGCATGGCCGGAGCCTCAGGCCAGCCGACTGGCTCTGGAGGTTCGGGTTGTGCCAGGGATGGGCTGCCCAACCTCCCAGCCTCCCCCCCCGCACATCACTCAGGCCCCAGCAAGGCGGGAGGTACCTGGGGCAGTGGCCGAGGGCAGCTGCAGGGCCGTCACGCCCACCCCGGAGTTTATCAGGTGCACGTTGGCAGGGCCCGCGGCGGCTGCCACCTTCACAGGGCTGCCTGGCCCAGCGGCTAACAGCTGCAGCGGCCCCACCGCCTGGGGCAGGGTCACCACCTGCGAGGTGGGCACCACCTGGGGCAGATTCAGCAGTGGGGATGTGGGGCCCAGGCCTGCAGGGTACCCAGGGGGTGGGGAAAGGGGCACCACCTGCGGAGAAGCCACAGAGGGCACGGGTCCTGCGGGCAGAGGAAAGGGGGCGGCCGGTGGGGGCCCGGGCACCACCTGGGGCAGAGGCCCAGCAGCCTCCTCTCCAGCCGGCCCGGAGGCAGCCACCTGGGCTTCCTTGGTCTCAGCGGTGTCGGCGTCGGGCTGAGCCTCCTCTAGCCGCACCTCCCCGGTCTGAGGGTCCAGGACTAGGGAGGTCTTGCCCTCGCTGGCCCCCTGGGGCGTGGGCTGCTGCGGTGGAGGGGCGCCACTGCCACCCGTGAGCAGCAGGGGGCCCAGGCTGGAGGCCTCCCCGAGGGCCAGGCTGTTGATGATGACGGGGCTGCCGTTGAGGAGCACGGCGGGAGAGCTGCCCGCGGCCAGGAAGCTCCCGTTCACCAGGATGGAGGAGGAGGCGGGGCAGGGCGCAGGAGGGGCGGCCCCGGCCAGAAATATAGAGCCCTGGGCGGGGGCCTCCGCAAGCACCGGAGCCGCTCCCCTCTCCAGGTCCTCGGGACTGCGGCTGGACTCGTCCTCGGTGGTGGGGTTCCCGTCAGACTCGCTGGCCAGAGAAAGGATTGTGAGCCGTAGCCCTGGACGCCCCGTTTCCCCACTGGCCGCCAGCAAGCCGCCTGCAGGGGCGCCGGCGGACTGCACCCTCCCCACCTTGCCCCAGCCCAAACTTTTGCAGCACAAAGCGTGAGGGTGGACTATAAAACGTCCTGAGACCACTCAGGGACCCCCAAGGACGGAGCCTCTGCAAGTCCAGCATTGATACCTCTCCATAAAAGCTAAAGCTGGCCCCATCGGAGGGAGGAGGCCCTCCTCTCCCAGCGCCTTGGCCTCCGGGCCGAGGCTGAGCACTGGGCAGCACAGCGTCCCCTGGGTCCCCTGGGTCGGGCTGAAAGCAGCCCAGCGTCTTCCCGGAGTGGAGAGGCGGCAGCCTGCTCAGTTCCCGGGGCCTCTCCCCCGCCCCAACCCCCGCCGGGCGTCAGAAAAGGGAGTGAGAGGCCGGCGCGCAGGGTGGGAGGGGAAGGGCTTGGGTTACAGGGAAACCGGAGCTGGGGAAGGTTCACGTTTCACAACAAAGACAGACGACGGACCACGCTGTTTGGGCCCCGAGAGGGGGATGGGGGGGTGAGGAAAAGACACAGCCAGGGAAAGGCCCGCGCGGGGTGGGCAGACAAGGGCCGGTCCCCCTTTCCACAGCCCCCCCCCCCGCCAATTTTCTCACTGCCTCCCCCCAGCCACGAACGCGGATGGGACTGGGGACGGAGCTCCGGGTGGTGCAGAGGGATGAGGTCTCCCAACCTCCGCGACAGGAGCAGCGGGGTCGGGGGCAGGGCCGGGGGCGTGTGCCTGTTCCATCCACACGTATTCCCCGCGCCCTGGGGAGGGGGAGCACCTGACGGTGTGAGCAGGAGGTGTCCCAGGAGCTCGGCGCGCTGACTCCGGCCATGGGCATGGGGGAGAGGGAGGCCGGTGGGTACCACGTCCCCGGGAAAGCAGGACTTGCGCCGCCCGGGTTCCCCTCACCTCTTGCAAGGCGCGCCGCCGCCGCCCCCGGTCCGATCGCGCTGTCGCCGGTTCTTGAACCAGTTGCTGACCTGCGTGAGCGAGAGGCCGGTGAGCGTGGCCAGGCGGCGCTTCTCGTCCGGCGTAGGGTAGCGGTTGCCGCGATAGCAGGCCTTGAGCGCGGCGCGGGAGCGCTCCTTGAAGCAGTAGACGGTCTCCTCGCCGTCCCATATGGTCTTGGGCAGCGGGAACTTCTTGCGCAGACGGTACTTGTCCACTGCGCCCAGCGCGCGGCCGCGGGCCCGCTCGGCCTCGTGGTAGCGCGCGCGCAGGTAGAGGTCCTGCAGAAAGGCGTGGTGGGCGGCGGGGAAGGGGCGGCTCTCGAGCAGCCGGTAGAGCTCGGCGTACTCTCCCCGCTGGAAAGCCACCAGGGCCCGAGCGCGCAGCACCGGATCGCTGCCACGTAGGCGCTCGGCCGGGGGCAGTGCGCCCAGGAAGCGGCTCAAGCGGCCGGCGTGGCCCGCCTGTAGCAGCGCCTCGCAAACGCACGCCACCTGCTCCGGCGAGAAGCGGAGGCCCGTGGGCGGCTCGGCAGCGGCCTCGGGGAGCGACCCGGGGACGCCCGGGGATCCCGGGCCCTCCGCTCCCGACGCCGCTTCGCCCGCCCCGGCCCCGGCCGCGGCCGCCGCCTCACCCTCGGCCGCCTGCAAAGTCTGCAGGAGCTGGCGCGCTTCCTCCTCCTCTTCTTCGGTCGCCGCCGCCGCCGCCACCGCCTCCCCCCCGGCCGCCGGCCCCGCGCTCGGCTCCGCAGGCAAGGTAGCCATGTTTTGCAACTTTGGGAAGTTCCTCCCTCCTTCTCCTCCTCCCTCGGGCTTTCCCCAACCCCCTCCCCAGCCCGTCCCCCCTCTCCGCCCTCCCCTTCGCGTTTCCCGATCTTCTCCCCCGCGCCGACCCCGCGTCTCCCCCAGCAATGCCAGGCCCAGCTTTCCACTTGGGTCTCGGTCCCAGTGTCTGTGTGAGTGCCCGCCTCCCTCCCCGTCTGTCCGTGATTCTCCTTTTGTTTTCCCTCCGCCTCAGGCCGCGCTTTTTTGCCTCCCCCCGCGTGTGCCTCAGGCTCAGGGCCTCAGTTTCCCCATCGGGACAACGGAGAAGGTAACGGGCCGTCCGGGAGGGCTAAGGGCGCGAAGCCACCTCCGCCCGGAGACTAAGCTTCTGCACGCCTCCGTCTCCAGAGTCCTCTGAAGGCCCCCCCACTCCCCATCTCCGCCTGCGCTCCGCCCCTCGGAATTCCCGGCTCCGCAGGGGGGCGGGTCTGGCCGGGAGAAGGGGCGGGGGAAATGGGCTAGAAAGTTTGCAGCAACTTTTCTTGAGCAAGTCCCTGGAACGGAGGCGCGTGGCCAGCGCAGGCGCAGTGGTAGGAGGATGGCCGCGCGCGCTGCCGGCCCAGCCCCCTTCTTCCCGGCGAGCGGGTGGCACAGCTGGGCCACAGCTGGACAGGGGGCGGTACCTCCCGGTGGCTCGCTAGCCATCTCCTATTGGCCCGATGCCGAGGTCACGCCTCCCGGCGTCCCCACCCCCCACCCCAGCCCTGATTCGTCAGCTCTGCGGCCCGCTAGCTTCCCGCCAGGCCATTGGCCACCTCCACTCGCCTTCCGATTAGCCCCCTGAGCAGCCGCCTTCCTACAACGCAAAGAGAGCGGACACCCTGGAGTTCCCAGCTTTGGGCAGACGGGAGGGCCTTTTATTCGCGAGGATCGGGGGTGGGGTCCTAGGTGGGGAGAGACAATAAATACTGAGGAATGTCGGGGTCTCAGTGCATCCCAAACGTGGATTAGGGCGCTGGGGTCCTGGAGCCTGTCAGCGGGTCGGAGGACAGGTCAATAAATACCCAAACTGCCGAGGCGGGCGGAGCCTGCAGTGGCTCCGAGAGCAGCTCACGTGAGGAGGGCGCGGGAGTCCCCGAAAGAGCGGGGCTGGCAAAAGCACAAGGTTCCCGAGAGAGCGGGCGGGCGGAGCTCGCACTAGACGTTCGCCGCGGGAAGAGGACGTTCCCGGGATAGCGGGGCCTCATGCAGAAGGATTTGTGGTCTGCGAGCCGATGGGGGCGGGGTAGGGGCAGTGGGGAGGCGGGGAGGGTGATAAACTGATGGCCGAGCCCTGGCCCTGCTGCCTTCTCTAGATGGCAGTTTGCCCATCCATGTCGGGGCCTCAGCCAGGCCGCAGGAAGGAAGTGGTCTGCGATTCCCCCCGGTTACAAGCCTTCCTGGAGCGCCGAGCTCCGACCGCGGGCCCGGCTCCTCCCTCCCCGGCCGCCAGGGGGCGGGCCCGGATCACAGGGCTGGAGCTGGGGTGGAGACCCACGCTTGGAGCGTTGAGAACGCGGAGGCGGCGGGAGCGGCTTCTGGGCGATGGCCCAGGTCACCCAACCCTCCGGCTTGGGGTTCTAGGGTTCAGGGGGCGAAGGCGGCTCCTGGGTGGCGCCAGACCGGGGCGAGATGTTCGGCGTAGGCCACCAACCCAGTGCAGCCCAAGGCGGCGGCAGCAGCCAGAGCAACGGCGAACAGGAGCAGGGAACGCGCCTCCGATAGGTCAGGCTTAGGGACCTGCGGACAAGAGGGCGGGATCAGGTCCCCGCGACACGGCACACCAATTGGTTCCTGGGACTCGCCACGCCTACTCCCATAGGTGGGTCCGCCATCCTCTCTGCACTCTGCCCCGCCCCCGCGGGCAGCGGCGGTTGGTCCGCTGGCAAGCCTCGAGTCTTGTCCGAACTCGCCACTGGAGGCTTCCTAGCGGCCTTGCTGATTGGCTGCCCGGGCATCCTCCCTCCCCGCTGCGGGCCCCGCGCGACAGAGGCGCAGCTAAGCAGAGGCGGCCTGGGGGTACGTGGAGCGAGGAGGGGGCGCGGAGGCGGGCGGGCGTGAGCAGCCGGACGTACCCTGGCAGGGAGCAGCAGGTGGCGGCGGTGCATGGGGCCTGGCCCCACCAGCGGGCATTGGCCCAGAGCCACGGCCGGGGGGCCATCTAGCTGGAGAGAGAAGGGACAGGTGACCCGATCGGAGCCCAGCCCGGCCCGGCCGCCCTCAGCAGGGGGCGAGAGACAGCGGAGGGAGTCGGGGAAGGAATCGAGGGAGAGCCTAGACGGAATGTGGTTAGAGGCCTGGACCGAGGGGTATCTGGTAGACGTGGGGCTGAATGGAGGGTGTTTGCTGTCTGGAACCCCCAAGAGTTAGGGTGATCCCTGAATCTGGGCGGGGAGACGGGGCGGGGTCTGCAGAGGGGCTAAAAGGCTTGATACAGGGGAAAAAGAGGGGTCTTACATGGGAAGGTAGATCCGTGGCCCGGGGACTGGGGACCCCCGTGACAGCTGGAAGGAGAAGAGAGAGGCATAGGGCGCGTGGAGGGACGGAGGAGGGCGGTGGCGCGGCGTGCCCCAGCCTGGGCCCCTCGCCCGCCCCCAGGTGTCCACACACGCCGCGGCCCACCTCCCCCCGTCGCCCTCGGGAAAGGGGACGCATGAGGGACTCGCCTGCATCTCCCCGGGCCTGCAGCAGCTCCATCTGCTCTTGCAGCTGCCGGACGTGCGCCTCCAGGTCTCGGTTCCGGGCCTCGGCCTCACGGAGCTGACTGCGGGGAGCAGAAGACCGTGAGCCCTCCCGGGCCCGAGCGAGACGGGCTGCAGACCGCAGGGACGGACCCGGGCGCCCCGACCCCGACCTGGCAAAGTTCTGGTTAGCTGTGCGGATGGCCTCCAGCTCCCGGCTCAGGCTCTGCCGAGTAAGCACCTCCTCCTCCAGGGCCTCCTGGAGTTCCCGCAGCGTCATCCGGGCCTCCTGGGCCTCCGCCGAGGCTGGAATGGCTTCCGGAATCGCCGCTTCAGCCTGCGGGCGGGACTGCGCGGGACTGCGCTTAGGGCTGCTCGCGGCTCCTGCCGCACCCAAGACCTGCGCCCAGGTTCTAGGCTGGGGATGCCTCCCTCCTTGTCCTCTAGATCTCTGGGAATCCTCCCAGCTCGTGCAGTGACCCAGATCTCCTCCTTCCCTAACTAACCCCAGCCCCTGTCCTGGTCTCCTGCCTTTGGTCTGGGCTCTTCCACCCAGGAACCAAAGGGCTGTACCTACCACCCACACCCAGTTTGACCACGTCCCTCTCCTCCTCTCCAGCCCCTCAGAGCCCTCAGGGGAAGGCCTGCCTCCCTGTTTGGCTGGTTTCCTGTTGGCCTCAGTCTCCCCTCCCCTCATTCTCCACGCCCCTCCTCCTGGAATAAGTCAGTCAGTCTTACTACCCTCCTTTCCTTTTCCAGAATAAACCTTTGCCTGGAATTGACCAGTAGGTACTTTTCTTCCCAGGGATGGTCCTCCTTGTTCTCCACCTCCTCCTCCTCCTCCTCCTCTTGGGCTTGCCCCTCTCCAGAGCCCTCTCCTCCCAAACACAATGGCCTGTTTTCATTTCTTCATAGGGATCATTTCTGACTGAAGTAATTTTGTCTCTACTTTGTTTTCTGTCCCTTTCTGTCAAGTGAGCTCCCAGAGAGCTTAGCACTCCACAGCACACAAGATCCCGGAAGCCCTTGCGTTTCTCTCCCCTTCGTGCCTGACCTTCTCCTCCAAAGACTCACTGTTTCCTCCGGTGGGGGCACGGTGGGCTCCGGGCTGGCTGCTTGCACAGGTGGCTCAGGCAATGGCTCGGCCTCCAGTTCCATGGCTGTGGGGCCTGGGACCTCCTCGTCCCTGGGGAGAGGAGCAGGGCAAGGGGAGGGAGAGCTGGGCCCCCTCGGGAGGTTGCCCGTCCCTTGCGTTTAGAGCCAGGACTTCCTCTCCTATGGTCATGGGAGAGCCAGACCCTGAAGACCCCCCTAGTGTGAGGAGGGGAAGGGCAGAGAGAAGGGAACTAACTGCCAGCTTGGTGTGACAGGTCCCCTTCTTGTTAGTAAAGGCCTGCCCTTCGCATGGCCTCATGGCCCTGGGAGCCGGCCTCTGCACCTTCTGGAAGATCTTGGGATCCAGACACCCATGCTCTGGGGCCTGCTTATGTCCTCCCTCTCCATGTGACCTTTGCAGACCCCTCTCCTTAGGAGGTCAGGACGGTGAGGAGTGCCCCACCCGACTCCAGCCCCCTCCAAAGATACGGTCTTGAGACTGGGTGTGGGATCCCAGGACTGTGATTCTGGTCATCAGCGCCCCTGCCATCCCCAGCTGCTGGGAGGGGGTCACACCCCCCCTGGGAATGTGAAATTGCCATAAAAGTGGATATCCCCTCCAACCCAACACTCCGTCCCGTGGAAACTGGTTGCAAGGGCCTGGTGAGCCTCGGCGAGCCTGACCCGCCGCAGCTGTTCATCCAGCCTGGGTTACAACAGAGACGGACAGCTGGGTCCCGATGCGCCCGGTGAGGAGCACATGCTCTGTGGCTCAGGCTCTTGTTCATTCATGGCAAGAATTGGCATTTGCGGGGCGCCTGGGTGGCTCAGTCGGTTAAGCCTCTGCCTTCCGCTCAGGTCATGATCTCAGAGTCCTGGGTTCGAGCCCCACATGGGGCTCCCTGCTCAGCGGGAAGTCTCCTTGTCCCTCTCGCTCTGCCCCGCCCAGCTTCTTGTGCTTGTGCACGCTCTCTCTCTCTCTCTCTCTCTAATAAATAAAATCTTTTTAAATTTAAAAAAATAATTTAAAGAAAAGGAAATGGCATTTGCGATACATTGTCCAGTAACTAAACAGGTTAGTCCACGTCATGTTCTCACAGTTGTCAAGTATGTGGGCGCGCATATATGAGCTAGGGACCGTCCCTGATGTTAGGCTTCCTTTTCCTTGTCCGCATTTTCTAATTTACTTGTGACAAGCAAAGTACTGTTTGTATAATTAATGTATTTAAAAGGCTTTGTGGTTATAAGAGTGATTCAGTAAGTTTGTATTCTTTTAAGATCAATTTAGAAATTCTAAACTTATTTTCTAAGATTCAGAGTTCCCATGACTATACTAGAAATCTGAAAGTGGAAGGTTGGAAGATTCCGGAAGGCCGAGTCTGGCTCTGAGGTTTTAAAACTGAATCTAAAATTTCACAATACTTATGGTCTGAGATTTTAAGGTCCTACATCTCTGGAATCCTAATAGTCTGTGGTCCCAGGGCAGGAAGGTTCCAAGATTAATCCTGCAATACGACTGGGTGCCCCTCCCTGGGCCTCTGGAGGCTGGCACCTGCGGCCTACTCACAGGGTGCCCTGGGGCCACGCCTACCTGAGGGCCATGCAGGAGTAGGAGTAGCCCACAAAGGGCAGGTGGACCCCCAGTGGCATGGCTTCCCGCATGTCTGACAGCGTCTCCTATACAAGAGAAACAGATGTGGGTGACCTGTGCTCCTCGGGGCTGGTCCCTGGGCCCTTCCCAGTCTGTGCTTAAATACCTGCTCCCACTATCTCAAGTGGCCCCTCCCTCATCTTCTTTCATTGTATCCTGCGGTTCCCCTTGGGGCACTCCCCACACTGTAATTACATACTTCTCCCGGGCTGTAAGTGGATGAGGGCAAGAGGCCAGGGGCTGGAGCTGGCTTGGTCCCCGTGTGTCCCCAGCAGCACCTGGCACAAGGGCACCCAGGCTGAACATGCGCTCAGGACAGCTTGTGTCACAGTTGAGACAGAGGTGGCCTAAAAGAGATTCCTTCACACCACTGTGCTTTCCTGCCTCTCACTTCTTAATCCTCCAGGCCTCAGCTCAAATAGCGCCTCCTCCAGGCAGCGCTCCAAGATTTTCCATGCTGGGTCAAGAGTCCCACCCCCGTCCTCCCAGTCTCATCTCCGAACTCTCTGGGGAGTCGTTGTCTGGGGACCAGTCTGTGTTCCCCCACTGGATTGTGAGTCCAGGTCACCACTGGATTCCCAGCACTGGGGGGGGGGGGGGCATAGAGCCCGGGCTCGGGGGGAGGAATGATTTCAAGACCCCAGGAGATGGGTACTATTCTAAGCCCAACTTTATGGATGAGGGGTTGGCGGGGGTGGGATACCCTCTGCCCAGCAGTGGTCGCAGGTACCTACCCCGCCCCCGCTCACCATGGCAGTGAGCCCGTCTTCCACCACATCGAAGTTGCACGTGTCAGTGGCACCCTCAAAATCCGGCGTAAAAGGGGGCACGCTGTCTCGGAGACCGTCCCAGTCAAGGCCAAAGAAAAAAGGATGATTCTGGAAATCACCTGCTCCGTCCCGGCCCAGCCGCATCTCAGGGGGACACAGCAGATGCTGGATGAGGTCTCGAGCCTCCTCAGGAATCCCCCCATCGGCCAGTGGTAGAGACAGGTGCTCCTGCCCGAGGGAGAGGGAGGACGGGGAATGTCAGCCGGGCAGGATGTGTGAGGGAGACCAGGGCTTCCTCTGGCCGGGCTCACCTTGTAGTGCACGATCTTGCCGTAGGTCTCAGCGGTGGAGTCGGCGTAGAAGGGCGTCTGCCCGTAGAACATCTCATAGGCGAACACTCCCAGCGCCCACCAGTCACACTCGGGCCCGTAGCTGCCCATCCCGGGCCCGCCGCCCACCGCCTGCAGGATCTCGGGGGACAAGTAGTCCGGCGTGCCCACAGCAACCAGAGACCGCACCTGAGCCAAAAGGTGCAGAGCTGGGCTCGGCCCCGCCCCTCCGGGCTCTGGCCCCGCCCCTCTCAACCACGCCCCGAAGGCGTAGTCCTCCCCTCGTGTGTGCTAACCCCAAGCCACTCACAAATTTAGGCGTGGGTGCCCTCCTCCTTCCCTCTCCAAATCTGGTCGTGCCCTCACCCTAACTCTACCTGTGCGCCTCAGCCCCGCCGCCACACTGCACTTTCGGTCCCCCCATCTGACCCCACTCGTCTTTGGTGGCCCGAGTTGCCCGAAGCGGCGCACCGCACCGCTCACCGTTCCGTCTGCCCGCAACTTGAGGCAGGAGCCGAAGTCGGCCAAACGGATGTGACCGCAGCGGTCCAATAGGATGTTGTCGGGTTTGATGTCTCTGCGCAAACGGAAGGGGCAAGTGGAATAAGTGAGCCTCCTTCCATTCATCTCACCAGGCTCCACCCCTCCAGGCAGCACGGCCTCGGGTCCCACCCTCTTAGGGACCATGCTCTCCAATTGCGGCTCCCCCTTAGTGGATTCTGAAATCTGAACCCCACTCCTCTGGCCCTGTCCCCAGTGGCCCCCACCAGTGAGGTCCCTCTCCCGGCCTCGCCCCCTCTGGGCTCCAACCTTAGAGGTACCCTGCTCCCTGCCTGGGTGCAACTTTTGCTTTCCTTCTCTGGGCCCCGGCCTCAGCCCCCGGCCTCAGCTCCCACTGCGCCCACCTGTGTACGTAGCCCAGCCGGTGTACCGAGTCTATGGCCATGACAATCTCAGCCAGGTAGAAGCGCGCCATTTCTGCCGGGATCCGCTCCCCAAACTTGCTCAGCAGCGTTAGCAGGTCCCCGCCCACGTAGTACTCCATGACCAGGTACTGGCAGGGGGCGCGACATGGCGGGGGGCGGGGGGTAGTCAGTCACACCCCTCGTCGCTGACTGTTGATAGCCCGGGACGAAGACTATGTCTTTGTCCGCAAATGCCCCATCCCTGGGCAGAGGCCCCGTAGTCCCAGCCCAAGGAGAGCCCGAGAGATCTTCCAGGCCAAACCAGAGACACTCCTCCCCAAAACCAAAGAGAGAAGGGAAAAGAGAGCCCAGAGAGCTCCCAGTGCCCAAAGTACACAGCCTAAATACCCTGCCCAGGGGCCCCCCGATAGATTGTAGAGAGCTATCGCAGTCCAGGTGAAAGATCCCACCCCACCCGCGATGGTGGCATCTTTACAGGGTCCTCTGGAATCAGCCTGGGAAAAGAGCGGTGAGGGACATCTCCCATCCCGGGAAAGGAAGACCAATTCCTACCACACCCAGAGACGCTGCTGCCATTTCGAGGCAGCTCCCCAAGCCTAGAACTTCCCCCTGACCCCGCGACGTTCACTGACAGCCTCGGGGTCGGAGTCCGTCTCCCTAGTCCTCCCGGGTCTGGGGCTCACCAAGTAGTTCTCATCCTGGAAAGCGAAGTGCAGCTCTGTGATCCAGCGCCGGTCCCCGTTCACCAACACATCCCTCTCTTCGCGGAAGCACGACACCTGCGGGGCCCCCAGAGGTACTGAAGCGGCCGGGGGCCGGAGCGGGGGTGGGTAACCCTAGCGCCCTGCACCTCCGGCCCCCGCCCTCACCTCGCCCCTCTTCAGCATGTCCCATTTATTCATGATCTTCATGGCATACACCTGGCCCGTCTGCTTCATCTTCACCACCGCCACCTGAAGGCCGAAACGGGGTGACCGGGGGCGGAGGTGTAAGGGGAAACACGGGGGCTGGCCCAGATTGGACTCCACCCCTAACACGCTCGTGGCACCGCCCCACTACTAACGCCACGCCCAGCGCCCTCAAGCCCCGCCCCCGCCCGACGGGTGCAGGCTTTCTCAACTCAGTCATTCATCAATTTCTAAGGTCCCGCCCCAAACCCTTGGGTCCCGCCCACTGCACGAAAAGTCGCGTCCCCTGTTCCGGCTAACTGCAGCCGCCGCTCAAGGCTCACCTCGCTGAACGCCCCGCGTCCGATCACCTTCAGAATCTCGAAGTCCTCCCTCTGCAGACGGGCCTCCTTAAGCCTCGCCGCGATGGGCTCCACTGGGGGGCGGGGGAGGTGAGAACCGAGGGTAACTGGGACTGACACTAGAGACAGGAGGAAGTCCCACCCTCTGCCCCTCAGTCTCCCTCCACTCCACCCCCAGCCCCCGGTCTCTGTCCCACGGCCTCCTCGGTCCCTTGTTCTCTCCTCTTCTCTCTCTCCTAGGACTGTCAGCCTCCCAAAGGCTTCCCCACAAAAACATTGTGAGTTCTGGGGACCCCTGAACTCCCCTCCTACAGAAAAAAAGGTGGGATGCTTGAGGAACCCCTTTTAAAGAAGGACACTGAGCCAGAGGGCTCTAGTGGGTGCAGATGGAGAGGGCGGGCTCTGGGAAAGGGAGGCTCTGGAGAACAGAAGATGATGCGAGGCCCCGTCCTTAGGGCCCCCCGAGCTTCGGGCCTCACCCGTCTGCCGGCTGGGAGTGGGAATGCCTGCCAGGCCCACCCCAGGCTTCTCAGTCCATCTCAGATCCCGTCCTGGAACACTCAGTTTAGTCCAGCACCTCCAGGTTTAGATGCTGGTGGCTTTGGACCACACTTTGGGAAACACTGGATTTGGGGATGGGGTCCCCAGAGGGAACAGGAGAGGAAGACAAAGCCAGCGTGGATCCAAATTCCAGGCTCTAGTGTACTCGCTGCTCTGTCCTCAACTCGGGGAAGAAGGCTTCTTTCAGTCACCCCTCATTTATGGGTGGGGAGGTCATGGCTCAGATGCGTGAAGAGTCTGGCGGAGCCCTACAGCTAGGAATGTCAAAGAGGGCAGGTTGGGAGGGGAAGGGCCTGGCGGAGGGAATGCAGAGGCACAGGGAGAGGGAGGCCCGGGAAGTGGAGGACGCTGGGGACTTGGGAGGCAACACAGAGAGAGGGATGGGTTCAAGTGAGAGTAAGGGGAGGTAAAGTGGGCTAAGGCAGCGAGAGACAGAACCCCACGAGTTTCGGGGAGAGCGCGGCCGGCAGGGAAGAACCAGCCAGGGCCCAGGACAGGGGAGGGAGGAGAGAGCCAAGACGTTGAGCCCTTTTAAGGCAGCAGGAACCCAGGTCCCCTCCCCCGCCCCGGCGGCCTGGCAGGGGAGGGGCGGCAGAATACTGCTCAGGCCACAAAAGGAGTGCTCCTTACAGGAGAGCCAGACCCCTGCCCCCCAGCTCTAGGCTCAGTTTACCCAGCCAGCTGAACTTCCCACTCTGCAAAATCAGGGCCCAGAGAGTTATAAGGGCCCGGGGGAGGCGGGGAGAAAGTTCTCCCAGGGGCTGAGTGGCCTGGCCTTTGGTCTCCACCTTCCTATCTGTGAAATGGGAGGGACAGGAGTGAGGCCTGGGTTAGAAAGAGATGAACACGAGAAATGGAAGAGAGGGGGAGGCAGAGAGACAGAGACTAGTGACCAATGACCCAGCGACCAAGCGCAAGCCACTGAGGGACAAGCCATTGCAGGGACGGAGTGGCAGGGTGTCAGGGAGAGAGAAAACCGAGAGAGAGGCAGACAAGGCCAGAGGCTGAGGTGGAAGCATCTGCCTTCCAGACTGGTCTCCAGGGGAAGACCTGGCCAGAAGGGACTTTGTGCAAGAGCCGGAAGGTCAGAAGTCATGAGAAGGGGGACCTGGGGAGCTGGAGGGGAGTCAAGGCTGCCCCATGCAGACTAGATGGACCAGGGCTGGGAAGGGGGGGGTGGCCAGATCCTAGAAAATGGGCACACCCAGGAGAACTCTAAATTGTTCCCCTGGCATCCAGGGGGTGGAGGGGTGCTGGGTGGCGCCTGTCTGCAGAGCTGGTTCTCCCCCAGGGCCTGGGCACCTGTTGCGGCAGCTGGAGAGGCTGGCGCCGAACACCTGCCCACTGGCCGCGCCCCTGGCAGCTGCCCCATGTTGTCCCTTCTGCCTGCCCCTGTGCTCTGGGAGACCAGGATGGAGAGCCATGGGGCCCATTTTGGCGTGTGTGAGGGTGGTCCCAGGACACGGGGCTCCCAGCATGTCCCTAGGCCTAGACCTTGGGGAGGGGGTACAGCAGGACCACGGGAAGCTGTGTCCCGTCCAGCCTACCACGGCTCCCGGGTCGCAGCTCTTGAGCCATGCCTGTGCTACCCTCTGCTGAGCCTGGCCTGCCCTGCCAGGGTGGCTCAGGGGTAGGGGCATGGCACCCTAGGACCCAGGACCAAGTTTCGGGCTCCTGAGTGGGAGGCTCTCCCACATCTACCTTGCCCCCAACTCTCCTCATCTCCAGCCTCTGCCCTGCCCTCCCCACCCCCCAATCTGGGGCACGCATGCAGGCAGGCACTCACCCCACTGCAAGAAGTCGGCCACATACTTGTCCTGGGCCAGGTCGGAGGCCCCCAGCTCCTGGTGGACGCCCAGGAGAAGGTCGAGCAGGGGCTCCAGCCCCAGGAAGCCAGGGTCCAGCACCAGCTGCTGGAGCCGGCTCAGCCGCACCTCGGCTGACATGTTGGACAGGCAGCACCATGGCCCCTCCCCGGGCCAGGGGCTCGGGGTCCTCCCGTCACGGGGCCCGGCAGCCCCTGTCCAGGCCTCGGGGCTCTGGCTGCATGTCTGCCTGTCCCTGGCTGTCCCCTGGGCCTCTCTGGCCACTTCTCTCTCTGCTGAGGCCTCCTCCCCTTCTCCCCACCCCTCGGTCCAGCCCCCTCCCGCCTCCCGGCCTTAACCCCTCCAGAGCCAGGCCCCCCAACTCCCTCCTACCAGGGCCCCTCAGGACTAGTCAGTGTGAGATGGGGGGATGGAGAATCCCAACTCTCGCACCATGCCTGCCCCCCAAAAAGGCGGAGCCCAGAGGGAGCTACAGGTGTGGCAGAGGCCAAAGATGAGCCCTCCCATCCCGAGGGGGCCAACTGAGGTTCAGAATGATCGGGTAACACCCCTCTCAAGCCCTGGAATTGGGGTGGGGGAGGAAAGGGGGAGGACTGGGGGGGGGGCAGGAGGCCAGCGCAGCTTCAAGGGTGACTCAGCCAGGGATTCAGACTTTGGGACAGTTTAAATTTAGCCCTCAGGGCCTCTGCTTTACACTGACTGGGTTTTGTTTTTTTTTTTTTGGCAGGAGGTGGGGAAGGGGTGGTGAGAGAGTTGGGAAGGGAGGCCCTCAGGAGCCAGGACCGGGGGTGACCCACTGGCCAAAGCCTGGGGGAGGCAAAGGAGCCCCCAGAATAGCTCCCTGGACCTGGCCGCACAGCCACATTCCTGCCCAGGCCAGGATTAGAAACAGAAACATTTCGGGGGGTGGAGGGCAGAGGGGGAAGACACCCCTCCCTGCAGCTCCGGAGCGCCAGCCAGGAGGGATTTTCGTTGTTCCCGGCAGGGGCGGACAGCGCTCCCGCTCCCGGAGGAAACCGTGGTCTCCAGCTGGCGCCCTGTGAGCCAGGAGCCCTGAGGCAGCAGGAGGCCAGGACTTGGGGCGCATTCTGAGCACCTCAGGAGCTACCTGGGGACCCATCCGGGCAGCCCCCCTCCATATCTGATCTGGATAGTTCAAGCACTTTCAAACTGGGAAGGGGCCCCTGGCGGCCCTTTCTCCTCCAGAGTTTGGGGGCCCAGGGCTCAGGGCTGGAGGGCTGGCAGGCAGGGGGCCGGCCCACTGTGCGCCCTGAGTTCCTCCTCAGGCCTTCAGCTCCTCCTGCGGTGAGAACAGAGCAGGGAGGGGACGGGGTCAGGGAGAGGCAGGGCCAAACTCTTCCTTTGGTGGAAGTAGCTGGATTCTAGGACTGCAGCAAAAGGGCACACACTCCCTCCACACCTCCCGGAAGGGAACAGAGACACTGTGAAAACAGGGAACTTTAGTATAAATAAGAGGTCCTGGGGGACAGGGAGGGCCCCGGAGGGGCTTCCATAATTTAACACTCTTCAAAAGCACAAACAACAGCAAGGGCAGGGTGGAGGCCAGGGGAGGGGTGGGCCACCCCTGCCCTGCCCCCAGGACAAGGGGCACACCGCAGAGCTTATGGGCAGGGAGTCTCTCCCCCAGGAACAACCAGTCACATGCTGGGGACAGGGATGAGGCGAACACTGATGTTTCAGAGGAAGGGGTCATTGTACTTGGCAGTGGGTGGGGACAAGGCTGAGGCCGCACGGGCCACTACATCCCCCCGAGTGTCTGGGCCGGTCTGGGAGACCCTCTGCCCCCCCCCCAAATCTGTGCAGGACAAGGGACGGGAGCAGTCCCTCCACCATGGTCAGTCTTGTTAATACGTTGATCCGTGAGGTCAGCGGGAGGGATACGGCTAGGAGGCAGGGAGCGTGGGGGCTGGGAACCCGGACATCCGTGGCTTCACACCACTGTGCCGCTCGGGGAGTTGCCTGGTTGGGAGGAGATGCCCTGGGGAAGAGGACAGAGGAGATAGGAAGGTTAGAGGCTGCGTGGGGCTTCCACCTGTCCCGTGGGGAGGAAGCCTGCCTGGAGTTCCCCAAGGCAGCTGCCACCCTGGCCTTGCCCTTCAGTCCACCCCAGAGCCCCCCAGACAGAGGCCGCTGCTCTAGGTCCCAGTCCCGCTAGCATCCCCGGCCCTGCAGGCGGCACTCCTGGACCATAATTAAAGTCCTCCTGTGGTCCTGAGCAGAGAGAGGGGGGTAGGGGTGGAGAGGAGGGGGGGAACTCGGGGGTCCTTTCTGACTGGGGAGGTGAGGGGAGAGAACTCAGGGGCAATCCTACCTCTACCACTGACTTGCTGGGTGACCTGGGCCAACTTCCTTCCCCTGTCTGGGCCTCCGCCTCCTCGTCTGTGAACTAGGGAGATAGAGGGGTCTCTTTCAGGACTCGTCAGACTCCCCAAATCCCAAAGACCCTGCCTCTGAGACTGTTAGGATGTTCTAAGGATTCGAGACCCTATAGTTCTAAAACCACTCCCTCCCTGGGCCTTAGACCTAGCATCCCGGGCACACAAGCCCAAACCCCATGGAGCTGAGCCCCCTAAAGACAAGAGCTCCAAAGATGGAAGGGGCTAGGCCCACGCTCCCCGCACTGGGATCTTCCCCACCGGGCCCTTCCTGAACCCCACAGCTATCCCAGGATTTGGACCCATCCACCTCCCACCCGCCTTCAAGGGGTCAGCAAAGAGCGGCAACTTGCCCAAGGTCGCACAGGGAGCAGCCCCAGAACCCAAGCTGGGATTCCAAAAGCTGGGACTCTAGAGGTGGGCTCAGATCCAGAGTCTGAGATCCAGGCCAGAAAGTGGGCCCACAGGCTCAGTGTTGCCCACAGAATTTGACCCGCATTATTCAAAGGGTTTCACAACTCACAAATCCTCATGTCCCTTAGAAACCCAGATTTGGCTTCGAGTGACAAGTGATAAGGTCTGGGTATGCTGGGCCCACTGGCCGCCCTTCAGCTAGCTGGCCACGGTCCTCAGCACTCCCAGCTCTCTTCCACCCAACCCTCTCTCTCTCTCTGCTGCCACAGAGAGTTCTAGAAGCCCGGTACTCTTAAGATCTGAGAAGCCTTGCTCTGGGACGCTAAGATTTCCCTGGCTTCCCCTCATCCCACAGGACTAAAGGCTACGACTGGGACAAACCCTCCTGCTGACGCCCGCCTCTCCCTGGGCCCTGGGGAGGCTGGCGTGGGGCCACTCACCGCCTTGCCCGGCCGGGCCCAGGTACAGATGAGGCCCTCCTGGCAGGCGGTGATGATGCAGTCCTCCAGGAAGAGGAGGACCGTGAGCCGCTCCTGGGCTATCTTCTTGCACACCAGGGGCTCGAGCAGGGGCACCTCGTGGATGCGCGGGCACAGCGCGGTGCCCAGCACCTTGGCTGGGTCCAACCGGCTGCGGGGAGCAGGGCCGCTGGGCTTGTCCCCGCCGCCGCCCCCGCCGCCGCCGCCGCCGCCCCCCCGGCTGATGTTGCCCAGGCTGTGGTAGCGCTTGTGCTCTTTCTCCGACCCCCGGTCCCGCCGCTCCTGCAGTGTGAGCGTGGCAAAGCGGCCGATGCTGAACGGTGTGCCCGGCTCGGCTGTGGCACCGGGGCCGCCGGCCTTGCCACCGCCTGCCGGGTGCGGGAGGCTGTTGGAGCGAGACAGGGAGCGGGGCAGGGGGCCGGGGCCGGGGCCAGGCTCGCCGGCCCGGGAGTTGCTGGCAGCAGGGGGCGTGGTGCCAGGCGTGCCAGGGAGGGTGCGGGTGCGGGCCAGGGGCGGGTGGGGGTAAAGCACGTCTTCGGTGAGGTCCCACAGGCAGAACTGCGTGTCCTGGCCGGCTGAGCCGAAGCGGTAGGTGATGGGGCCGGCTCTGGGCAGTGGGGAGAGGGGGGCTGCCCCCCCGGAGCCCGTGCCCCCCGCATCGGGCTGCTCCTCTTCCTCCTCTTCCTCCTCCTCTCCGCTCCGCTCCCCGTCACCACGGGCTGCGGCCGCCTCCTCGGCCCTCGTGGTGTAGGGGTCAAAGGCCACGGCGTTGACCCAGGACTTGTGGCCGTGGCCCCGGGCCACCACACGGCCCTCGGTGAAGGACCACACGGTGACCAGGTCATCTTCGCCACCTGTCACGACGTAGCGGCCGTCGGGACTCCAGCACACACACAGCAGGCCCCCAAAGTAGCTCTTCATGAGCCCGCGCAGGAGCATGGAGTCGAAGTGGAAGACGCGCAGGCAGCCGTCCTGGCTGACGCAGGCCAGGTGCCGGCCGTCGGGCGAGAAGGCGAACTCGTTGAGGGGCCCCTCACCCACAGCCCACTTGGCCAGCGGGTTGCGGGGCGCCTTGCTCTTGGCGGCGTAGACGGCAAAGCCCTCGCCCTGCTTCAGCAGGCTGTACTGGGGCGGGGCCGAGGCGCACGGGTGGCTGACGTTGTACAGGTACAGGTGGCCGCTGGCATGCGAGGCCAGGAACAGGCTCTCGGACTCGGGCAGCCACTTCAGGTAGGTCACCTTTGTCTTGTCGATCAGCCGCTGCCGGGAAAGATGGAGGGGCTGGGGGAGGCGGCCCGTTCCTGGCCAACCTCCTCCCCGAGCCGGTTCCCCCAAACGGCCCTCGGACGCGGCCCTGACCTCCTCGGACAGCCCCCCTCCCCTCCGAGGGTAAGGGCCGGACAGCGGGCCACAGGGATGCAAAGGAAGAAGGGCGGCCTGTGAGGCAGCCCCGGGGTCTTGGCGTCCCGTCTCTGGCAAGGAGACAGTCCTGCCTTTCAGAGAACTCTCCTCACCTGTCTAACCGTCTCCTCTGTCTTTAATGCCTCAGGCTTCACAAGAGAACGATTCACAGAACATCCGCTCCCCCAGGGAAGCGAAACTCGTCTATGTGGTTCACTGCTCTAACGCCAGAGCATAGACCTGTGCACACAGCAGGTGCCTGGAAACGATTTCCTCGACACACGAGGGACAGCCCTGTCCTGCCAGCTGCACATGCGCCTCTGCTCCTTTCCCCCTCGAAACTCAGAACCAATCCTTTGCTGATACCCAGAACCTGCCCTCCTCTCCCAACGAACCCCACAGCATGGCAGCCCTTCTCAAGCAGGGTTCCAGAGAGAACTGAGCCTTGAGGCCCCCTGGCACTCACTGTACACAATGAATTAACTTCTTCCCCGGGCATCTCAGTTGCTTCTCATTCTTGGAGAGAAGCTGGAAAAGAATCACATCATCTCTGTGTTCTCTGGCTGAGATGAACCCTGGTCAAGAAATGCTCTGAA